AATCAGGGTAGTAAATGGAGAGGTCAAAGTGGCATTTGAAAATGCTAATATTGGTGTTCTTTTAGACCTGATGGATTAGTCAATTTTCTGACTGTAACAGAATATCTGAGGCTGATACTTTGTAAGGCAAAGAGAGTTTTCTTTTTTTTTTTCCTGTCTTATTTTATCTTTTAGAGAAAGAGGTTTATTTAACTTATAGTTCTAGAGTTTCATGAGTTATGTTGTCAGGGTCTGCTTCACTCTGGTGAGGGCCTCATAATAGATGGGGTCACAATGACAGGAGCACATATGACAGCAATCACATGGCCAGACAGGAAGCAGAGACATTTAGGGGCCAGTTTTGCTGTTTTTATAGCAACGTGTTCTTGAGGGAAGTAACTAGGGTCCCATGAGAACTACACTAATCCCTCTGAGGGTGGCAGGTTCCTCGAGTGACCTAATTGCCTCCCACTAGCCCCTACTTCCTAAAGGCTTTGCCACTTCCCAACACTGCCACACTGGGGACCAAGTTTCCAGCACTTGAGCCTTTGGGGGACACTCAAACTATCTCCTAACCACAGCAACTGGTGACTTGTCCATGTAAGGGAGGAAGCAACAAGTCAGGGAGAGGTGTTGGAGGGCCAAGGGGAGGAGATGTGCTCTCTGAGCCAACTGTGTACCTTTTCTGTTCCTTTTCCCTCAACAGAGGCTGGAGGCAAGTGTTCCTCCTCCTCCTTTCCTTGAGGGAGAGGTCAAGAATTGCAGGGGTGAGTCTTGGCCCTATCTGACCCCTCAGCCCATACTGGTGCCTCTGGGCAGAGGAGGGATTGGGTCTGTGAGGGAGAAAATATGTTCTCAGGACCTGCTGAAGAAGGACTATGATGGGACAGGGGCAGTGAACAGGGCCTGGGCTCTTGTTGAACGTGGGTCTTCAGCCCAGAGGTGTGGCCAGGGCGGGTAGGAAGTTGGCCTTCAGAGGGAGTTGGGGACAGTCTTCCTAGAGGCAAAGGCTCTGGGGTCCAGGGGATCCAGGGTGGCTGTGAGCTAGCAGCTGCCTAGCCAGGGCACCTTTTCTCCCAGGGCTCCACATCTGAAGAGCTGGAGTGGAAGGGAGGTGGTCTTAGTAGCAGAATGGGGTCCACCAGTCAATTTGGGGTCCAGCTGATCCCAGGAGGCCAGACATTGAGGCCTCCACACTGGGGTTTGAATTCAGGGTCTTGTGCTTTTGAGGCAAGAGCTCTACTATTTGAGCCACTCCTCTAGCTTGTTTTAAAGTTTTGAGTGGGTTATTCACTCATACGGTTTAAAAGCTAAACATTATAAAGAAGTGGACAGTGAAAACTAATTTTTCCTTCTTGTGTCTCATTTTCATAGTTTTCTTGCCCTGGCCTGGGACCATTGTTTGTAACATTTTGTGTGTCCCCAGATGTACTTAAAAGCTGCAGAAGCAAATGCCCTCCCTTATCACAGACAGGAACATACTGTTCCCACTGTTTTGTCTCTTGGTTCCTTTTCCCCCCTCATTCATCAGTATTTCTTGGACACCTTCCCATATCAGTATATAGTTCATTGTTCGTTTTTTTTTTTTTTGCAGTACCGGGGCTTGAACTTGATCAAGGCCTACACCTTGAGCCACTCCACCAGCCCTTTTCTGTGATGTGTTTTTTTCTGAGATAGGGCCTCATGAACTATTTCCCTGGTCTGGCTTTGAACCATGATCCTTCTGATCTCTGCCTCCTGAGTAGCTAGGATTACAGGCATGAGCCACTGGTGCCTGGCTCATTATTCTTTTTTTTTTTTAATGGAGAATACAAGGGTTTGAACACAGGGCCTCTTGCTTGCCAGGCAGGTACTGTACCACTTGAGCCATGTCCCCTGTCCCTTTTTGCATTTAATTATTTTTTAGATATGGTCTCTACTTTTACATAGCTAGGATCACAGGCATCACCATGCCCAGTTTAGTGATTGAGGTGGGGTCTTGTTAGCATTTTTCTGTTGGCCTCAAACCGCCATTCTGCTGCTCTGTGCCCCCTTAATAGCTGTGATTACAGGTGTGAGCTACTTTGCCCAGCTCTATTGTTCTTATAACTGTGTGATATTTATTTAGATCATAAGCAATGTAGCAATAAACAACCTGCTGTACAAGGGCATCTGTAGGATCGATTTCCAGAGGAAGAATTTCTGGGACAAAAGATATAAGCATTTGTAACGTTGATATTGTCAAATTGACTTCTACAAAGACTGCTCCAATTTATAGTCCCCCAAGTAGTTTATGATGGTACTTTTTTTTTTTTTTTTTTTGCAGTACTGGGGATTGAACTCAGGGCTTTGTACATGCCAGGCAAGCACTTTACCACTCCAGGCACATCCCCAGTACCATGCATTAATTTTTTTTCTGACAGTACTGGGGTTTGAACTCAGGGCCTCACACTTGCTAGGTAGGTACTCTACTACTTCAGCCAGCCCCTCCCCTTTTTCTTGGCGGGGTATTTTTTGAGATAGGGCCTCATAAACTATTTGCCTGAGCTGACTTAGAACCAGTGGTGAGCCCCTCAGGTCCCATCTTGGGCTGCATTATGGTTGGAGGGACAGGACATCTGCCCTACAAACCTCCCCTCCAGGGAGGCAGTCTCACCCCAAAGAACTGTGTGCAGTTTTCCAAACATACCATGCTACTCACACCTCTTAGGCCTTTGCCCATACTCTCCCAAAATGTGCCCCGCACTCCTTCCCTTCTAGGCTGGAAAATTCCCACTCTTCCTTTGGTAAGCTTCAGTCCCTGCGGAGGCTTTCCTGACCTGCCATGGCAGAGCTTGGCACTCCCTACCTGCTCTGGGTGCCCTCCGTATCACCTGGTGGGGTAACTGTTTATTTACATGGCTGTCTTTCCCAGCACCCAGCCCAGGCCAGGCCCACACTCCAAACTCATCTGTGACTAAAATTAAACTCCCTGGAGAGGCAGGAAGGCATGGAAAGGCCAGGGTGTGGGTGTCAGAGACTGCTTATGACTCCAGCCTTGTCCTCTTCCCACCTCCCCAGCCTCATCTCCTCCTGGCTCTGCGCTGCCACCACACCGGGCTGTGGGAGCTGATCCAGCTGCCTGGAGTGTGTTTCCCCTGGCTTTCTCATCCTTGGGACCCAGTTCAGCCAGGTCCTAAGGGAGGCCTTCCTATGTCCTGAAGCTAAAGTCACCCCTCCCATGCCATCGCTGTCCACACGTTTTCTCCATTCATCACAAGCAAATGAGCAGCCAATTTGATTTGTTTGCTGCTAGTCCCCACTGCTAGACTCTTTAAAGTCCTCTAGGGCTTGCTCACTACTATGGGCCCAGGGCCTAGCATATCCAGGACTACACATCTTTATGAATTGAAAGGAGCTTGAACAAATGGATACAAATCCCCACTCCACCTCTTCCCACCTCTGTGTCCTTGGGTTAATTACTTACACTCTTGAGAATGAGGCCTTTCCTCTTGTAAAAAGGCATGACACAGGAAGAAACTCCACACATGACAGCTACTATTTATTTTTTCCTTTTATCTAAAAAATGCACGTTTTTGGTCAGGGTTAAAGGTCTTACTGTTTATCTTGCAAAAGAAAAACAATGTTTTTTTGCAGTCTTAGGGTTTGAACTCAGGGCCTCATGTTTGCCTGGCAGGTGCTCTACCACTTGAGTCACTCAGCCAGCCCAAAAGAATTTTTATTGAGAAGTTAAATACGTGGGAAAGAACAAACATTAGTTTTTACATCTCCCAAATTAAGTAGAACATTCTAACACAGACAGCCAAGTTCCTGTGTCAGCCTTGCTTCTAACCCTGTCCCCACCTGTGACACCACCCACACTTTCCCTCCTGATCTGACATCACCTGTCCATTCCTCAAACTATTTTTGACTCCTCCCCCTCCCCCGTCCTCTTGCGAGAGACATTGCTAGCAGCTCTACCCTTTGAACCCCTCCTACCACCAAACCAGTTCTCCAAAGGGGGGAGCATGCAACAAGTGGGGTGCATGCAACCAGCGGGGGTGCAAGACGACCTACTCCCGAAAGAACTGAAAACAGGAACCGAAACAAGTACACGCAGCCCACTTGTTCCTAGCCCACCATTCCCAGTGGCCCAAACATGGAAAACAGCCTCCGCGTCCCTGGAGCTCGAGACACAGAACCCGTGAAGTAGACGTCGGTGCACGGTGTCCAGTCCTGCGGAGATAGCCTTGCGGACAGGCCAAGTGACGGAAAGCCACAGACGGTCCCGGACCGAGCCCTGGCGTCGGCAGGCGGCACCTGCAGCAGGTGAGTCCCCAGAGGCAGGAAGCGCATTGGAGACACCGGGGGCTGGGGACAAACTGCTTCCTGAGCTGCGGGGCTTTGGAGTGATGGACGCTTGGGGACTAGAAGTGGTGGCTGCACAACACTGTCAATGCACCTAAATGCCACCAGGCAGGAGAGACCGTGTGTCAACCTGTCCCCAGGTGACCTTCCCGCCCGCGCTGCAAGGGCGCTCTGGATTATCAGTCCTGCTAACGTTAGTGTGACGAGGGAGCACGGGCCCCCGATTTACAGACGAGGAAACTGAGGCCTAACGAGGGTTGGGGACTTCCCATATGACCGCTAAGCCGCCGCGGAGCCGCGAGTCCCGTTCGCTGTCCGACTCCGCAGACCACGCGCCGAGGCTGGGTCGGGTGCCGAGTGTCCCCGGGCGCATATGGTCATCCGTGCGATGATCGCCGGTGGAACAGGCTGTCCTCTTCCCCTCCAGACCCCAGGCCCCTCGAGGGTGGCGGGACTCGGGTTCTGGGCGATCACTGACAGCCAGTCACTCAGCACCGCCTCCTGGGCTCCGAAATGGCGGCCGCCGGGATCGCGAGGCCACGCCCACCGGGGGGCGGGGCTTGAGCTCAGGCCAGAGCAGTGGATCGCCGAGCGAGCCGAACCTGCCGTCGACCGCCAGGCGCGAGAGCGGGCGCCGAGCGGGGAGCCGGGGGCGCCGCAGGTCGGGAGGAGGAGCGCCGAGCGCAGCAGGGCTCGCTTGCCGGGGCCGCCCGAGAGTGTCTTCTTCGCGGGCGCTGGGGCCGCCATCTTAGATGGCGGGAGTCAGAGGCGAGCGAGCGTGAGGCGGGAAGGCTTCTCTGCCGCTGTCCCTGCGCCCTGCCCCTCACCCCGAAAGGGCCAGCTGGCCGGGCTTTGGGGCTTGTGCCCTGGGGCGCGGAGCGCTAGTGCGACGATGCGGGGCCTTCCCGGGGCCCCGTCCCCTGGGCTGGGGACACGCCGATTGTGACCGCCTCCCGTTCCCTCGCCCGCCGCGGGGAGGAGGAGCGGGCCAGACGCCGGCGCGGGACGACAGGACACGGGGGCGGCCTGGTTCCCTCAGGTAAGCGGCAGGGCCGGGGGGGTGTGTATGGGGGACCGGGCGGCCCCTGTCACCCCCCAGCGGCGCTGGGCGGGCGGGGTCCCCGGTGTCATGGCCGGCGAGCCCGGTTCCCACGTCCCTACTCAAATTTCCTTGTGTTTCGCGGAGACCGGCCAGCGCCACTCTGGTGCCCAGCGCGCATTCCTCGTATTTGGGCACTGGGGAAATCCGCCCCATGTCTGGGTTGTCACTCGGATGGGCTCCCTCCTCCCCTCTCCAGCCCCGCAGTGGGGGACCCGGGCTTGCACCTCGTCCCCGGGCTCTTCTCGCTCGTGACACCCCTTTAGGGAAGACGGAGTTATTGGGGTGGCGAGGAAGAAGCGGGTCGGCGCCCCGCCACAAAGGAGAGCGGGCGGCCTCGCCTTGGGTTTCAGGACCTGTGGGTTCCTAATGGGACTGGGATGCCCGGACCGAGGACCGGAGCTGGGCCGCCTTTGTGCAGCCGCGAGGCTCTGCAGAGCCGGTCCGCGCCCGCTGCGAGGGGTTTGGACCTCGTGAGGGGCGAGGCGGCCGGGTCCATTCATTGTTCTTTCCCGGGGCGCTGACTGTGCCTCGGGTTTCCCCGGTCTGTCTGTCTCCTCAAAGTGGGACCAGGCTCTCGGAGTCCCTTCTTCCAAGCAGGGCGCGATTGTTTTGGGGACGGCTCCGCTCGCTCGCTCGCTCGCGGGGCTTGTAAACAATGCGGCGCGATAAGGCTGGGCTGGCCGCTCACCCGGCCCCGGGGAGCTCCGAGCCGCCGGCTTGGCCTGGGGGACTTGCAGGTCCTTGCGGTGTGGAAGCTTCGGCCCGTGCTCGCCGGTGAGCCCCGGGGGACGCGGGCCCAGCTGGGGACAGTGGTCAGGGGCGGGCGGGCAGCTGTGGGATGAGATTGGGAAGCAAGGAGCAAGTGGTGAGATAGCAGGATTGCGGAGGGTCTCTCTCTTTGTTGTAGGTGGTGGTGAACCAGTGGGTTGAGTTTGGGTTTATTCCAAATCTGGGTTGCTAATTCCTTGCTCTTGCTGACGACTCCCCCCTTGCTGATGTTGGAGTGATGGAGTGGAAAAGGTTTACTTTGTTACGGGCTGGGGGCGTGGCTCAAGTGGTAGCGCGCCTGCCTCGGAAGCGAGGCCCACAGTGCAAACCCCATACCAAAAAAAGAAAAAAAATTATTTTGTTCAACCCAGTTAACGATTTTGGTATGTGTTTTATATAAACTGCTTTGTACTCACTCAATAGTAGATGAACTGAACCTAACGCCCCTAGAGATTCTTGCAAAAAGTCCCAAGTTACACCAGTCTCAAAATATGTTAACTTATAAATATATGTACCCTCTATTTACAAATTTCAAATGGCTAGTTCTGCATTTGAAGTGGCTGTTGACAATATAAGTCGTGTTGCCGAGGCGTAGTATATAAAGCAAACACCTGAATGCAGGTGAGTGGTTTTAATGGACATATTTTATATGGTACACTGTTTCTTGGATAGATTCCCCAGGTTCCAAGTCTCTTAAAGTATGAAGTTCTGTGGATATTATTTTCCTAAAATGGCTGTTGTGATTAATGCTTATGCTAAATGATTATGATGTTAAAAGACCTCGGCTGCCAGTTCTAAATCTTTTTTTGGCTTGTGATTGTATACCTCTGAAGAACATGAGGATTCTTTTGACTTGTTTTTAATTACCCTTGTCTCTTCAAGAGCTAAGCTGCTTAAATCCGACAGCAGCATTTGACCCTGTGGAACACTGGATTCTTGGAAAAATAAACCTGTTACTGTTTCTGTTCTAAAAGCTTATCTTTTAGGTTTGTGGTGTTTGCTATAATAAATTGTAGTAGCATTGCTTAGTTTTGTTTAAATCTTGCCAACAGTTGAAAAAAACGGGTGTGCCTTTGAAGTGGAAGACTTGACTGAAATTTGAACATCTTTAAGGGACAATGTTTAGCAGACAAAAAACAGGGAGAAGCATATTAAGCTGATTTTCCTGACACAAAGTGTCTAAAACCTAAAGTGAACAATGGTATTGTTTTCCAACTGCTCTGAACCTAGTTGCTTTTAGCTTAAAATATACTATTTGCTGTGAAGGTTAAACAGCTTCATACTTTCTGGAAGTTCAGTTTGACTTTTGCAAAAGCACTAGATTTATTTTTCAAATGGAAAATATAATTTATAACTTCAAACTACTATTTCAAGAAGTCTGTTAGTAAATGTATGATTATACATTTAAATTTCAGATGGAACTCTGTTAGTAACCTACTGCCTAAAAATAGAAAAACGTAGCAGAGGGAGTGCTTTTGTTTGCATGTTAGGAACATAATAGGCCACACATAATAATCCTGCTCTTGGGAGGAGCCTGTGGGCCACACAGCATGCCTACATGTTGACTTGCAGAAGAGAATTTTAAATATTGCCTTTGAAAGGCAGTGAGTTAATGGACAGTGAGGAGGTTTAGGAAACCACAAACTCAAGCTTTGACTTGAAAAGTTGTTTTTTTTTTAAAGGTGTGCAGATCATGGAGTCATTTTTTTCCTCAAGGTATAAGGTATTAGTTAGAAAATTGCTCACCTCGACTAGCTTAACTGAGAAATCAACATTGCACTCTTAGAGGATGCTTGTTTAGGTCTCGTTTTTGGTATATTGTTTGTACTTACAGGTGAAATTCTAATCACTCATATAACTGGGCTCAAAGTGTAATTCTAGATATTTGTGTCATGATCCAGTTGATACTTCTGGTACAGGGCTAAAACATTTTGTCTGTAATCCTTGTGATAATAACGGCTGGATATTTTATTCTGGCCTTAAAAGTTGTGAGTAAAAACTCCCTAATTACGTGTTAAGGTTTTCACCTTTAATTTTTACAGTGTTTGAGTCAGTCTGTTAACTTCTTTTCTCCCAGAATTACTTGTATAGTTTTCAGTGGTTTTATTTAAAATGATTTTTTTTTTTTTTTGTCTATACTGGAGTTTGAACTTAGGGCCTCTACCACTTGTGCCACACCTCCAGACCTTTTTAGTTTGTTTTTCAGATAGGGCTTCGATTTTGTCAGGTTGGCCTTGCTCCTTGATTCTTCTGCCTCTGTCTACTGAGTAGTCTGCACCACCATGGGCACCTATAATGCACAGCTTGAACTCATGGCTTACATCTTGAGCCATTCCACCAAGCCTTTTTTTGTGATGGGTTTTTTCAAGATAGGGTCTTGTAAACTATTTGCCCTGGTGGGCTTCAAACCATGATCCTCCTAACTTTTGCCTCGTGAGTAGCTAGTTACAGGCATGAGCTACTGGCGCCCAGCACTAACTTTTGTGTGTGTATGTGTGGTATTGGGGTTTGAACTCAGGGTTGTGTGCTTGCTAAGTAAGTGTTTGGCTACTTGAGGCACACTCTAGCCCTTTTTGCCCATTTTGCTTTATTTACTTATTTTTAGATAGGATCTCTAGTTTTAGCTGGGGCAGACTGGACCCCATCCACCCTCCCATTTACTTGGGACCACAGTGAGTGCCACCAGTGCCAAAATGCCTGACTTATTTATTGAAATGGGGTCTTGATAACTGCCCCCTCCCTCTTTGAACCTCGAGATCTCATTTCCTGAGCGAGGGTTTGGTGCTAAGGCTCTGTGATCCTCTTATTTCTACCTCCCAAGTAGCTGGGATTACAGGTGCATACCACCCACCCAGCTACTCTGCAATTTTAGTGGCTTACTTCAGATGTGTTTGCCTTCTGATATTACTGCTAGAGTCTCTGTTTAACCTAGGAACGTGTCAAGTGGGTGCTGGTTCTTTGTTACTGGTTTTGGCTCACAAAGTGTGTAAATTGGCATCACATTCCAGTGTACATAGTACTTTTTGAAGAACACTTGACACATATTTTTAGACCTAGATTCTAAAGAATTTTACTGGATAGGGATTAACAACCTCAAAGCTATTTTAGAGTCTTGAAATCTTTGTGATTTGGAGATTATTTACATTTTTGGTTAAGGCATGGGATCAGCAGGCAATGACAATTGTCGTTTTCAGAGACCCAATGTGGCTCATTGCTTCTCAGGACCCTGTGGTCTGTCCAATGTCACCTTCCTCTTCTTTCTATCTGCCTGCAGGATTTAATTTACTGTCATCCAGAAATGAGAGCAAGTCCATCTTTACTGTTTTAATCAAGGTATTCCCTCCTCTTCATTTTCCTCTAGCCTGCTGTGGGAAGTAAACGTTCCTTGACTGTTTTGGAAGCTACATAGCTAAGGGGTCACATTTGAATTTCTTAGTAGATCCATGATGGAAGAGTCAGGGTAGTTAATAGTTAATATTACATTAGAAGTGTGAGTTTTCCTTCTTAAACTTGGTAGTTTGGAGACATTCTTAATTTGAAGAAGCTCTTGACATCCATCCTTTTACCTAAGCTTGAGACAGATGGAATCCTAATTTTCCCTGGAAGAGCACAACTCTTCACCTCGGGCAAATCTGATTAGGACGCTTGGCTTGGCTTGCCTGGGATAGAGGGAGCTCCCCTCACAGCCTTGGCGCATGCCTGAAATCCTGGCATTTTATATATAGGCTGAGGCAGGAAAATTGTGAATTCTAGGCCAGCCTGGGCAACTTAGAAACCTTGTCTAAAAATTTTTTTTTTTTTACTTACAGCAGAAAAAACTGGAAATAATTCAAATATCCAGCAGTAATAAAATGACTATGCTGTGGCCACTTGACATGGGAGAAGGTGCTTTTCATTTCATATGGCTCCCATGATGCATTTATGACATGGAAAATGCTGAACACACAATTGTGGAGCTGGAATGATTACAGCTACACTATAAAAGCACCTAAACTTAATATAATGGGATATTACTCAGTAATAAAAGAGAAACGGTGTGCTGATAGATGGATTCAGCATGGATGGACCCTGAAAGCATTATGCTAAATGAAAGAAGCCAGGCTCAAAAGACCACGTATTCCATTTAGTTGAAATGTCAGTATAAAATCTGCAGAGGTAAAAAGCTGATT